GAGAGAGAGAGAGAGAGAGAGAGAGAGAAAGGATAACTTTAAACAAACGGATGGAAAGTTTGCCCGAGAAGAGGGAAGAAGGGCGCAAAAGGGGTCGTGGGACGATGTAAATGAAAACGGAGAGAGAATCGAAACCGGATCAAGTTCGTTCTCCGCGGATAATTTTCATCGACTCGGAACCGGCTGCCTCATTGCGAGGAATTAATTTCCAATTCCAACCGGCGACAGAGAGAACGAAACAGAAAGAGGACACAAGCACAGTTCGCAACACAGAGAGAAAGAGTGAGAGAACGAGCGAACTGAGATCAGCGAAGTGGGATCGACTTACCATAATTTTGGTAGCAGCGGACCCGCGTTCCCTTCACTGGCTGTTGAATATTCGCTCGCTTATTAGAAAGGGTTTCTGTAATCGACGCCAGACACGAGCGGGTGTCTACCCGTCGCACCGCCAGTCAAATGGATTCCAATTAAAGTAATAACGAATCCGGCCGTACGAGCGTTTTCGTCGTCGCAAATAATCGGACCGTGGACCGTGCGTTGTCGCGCGAGACCCGTTTCCTTTCCCAATTCGATTCGCTCTGGACCCTCTGTGTGTTACCTTCCTCCGCGGAACCGGAGAGAAACGGCCCCGTGAATGGGCCGACGTCGAATTTAAATCGGCCGAATTAACGAAACGACGAGGCGACTGTCGTTCGACGCGACGATAAATTTCTAGATGGGAACAGGTCCCGGCCAGTTTCAACAGCGCGCCAAATGGTGAAAACACGAAGCCGAATAATGGACGAAAGTTTGACGAAAGTTTCTTTTTCCTCCGCTTATTTTTTTTCCTCTTTTTTTTTTTGCAACTGCTTTGCATTTATACGTATGGGATGTTTCGAATAGCTGGGACCAAACATGGGGAATATATTGAGACGTCTCATTGTCAGTCAATTTCGTTATCCGTTGAACAATTCTCATTGAAACAAATTATTCTCATTCAAACAAATTTATTTATTTATTTATTAGAATAAATAGGTGTCAATTTCAACAAAATTCTTTCAAGATACAACTTAAATTTTTGCTTTATTTTCCAATGATGTTCGTCTAAAGAAAGCTGGTCATCAGATTCAAAGTTACGAAATGTTTTCGACAGCACCTTACTGCGTGAAGAAGTTCAATGAATTAAGCTGGCTGTTCAATTTATCAAATTTTATTTTTTTAATATTGTTTATACCCCCTTCGTCGTTATAACCAAAGTTTATAATTTTATGAAATTTCAAGAAATCAGAGTGTTGCAACAAATTATTGTGAATTTTCTCAAATACTGGAACCGGCGAGGCAGTATTCGATTTATGCGACTCAGCACAATACGGAGTAATAATAATTGAGAGACGACTGTACGCTACTGCAAACGGGGAATGAGAGTAGAAAGGGTAGAAGGGAGGCTGGCGTAAATTTAAATTTCTGCGGAATGGTATACGCCGATAGAGCGGAGAGAGGCGCTTGTTAGTACGCTGCTGGCCATCAACATAATTAATCTGCCTAAGTGGAGACGCCTGTGTATCATTATTAGTACATGCGCGGCGGATGTTACGGGGTTTCGAATGTGCTTACGAGAATTTAGGGCCGCGTCAGGTGTCCTGATTTGGCCACGCTAATGCGAAATATCCAATTAACCAGTAATGGAGCCTTTATCGCATCCGGTGACATCGGCCCGCGGAATTTCAATCGTGCGCGACGCGGCGCGGCCCACCTTTGCGTGGTCCACGCGAATTCGGAACCCCGAAAATCTCGAATACGCCCGGATATCTGTTGCTCGTTTGCCAATCCGTTCCGATAATTGCCGTCTTCGTCCAGAACTTCGTTCTGGTGGCCTGCATCGTTCAAAGTATTATAATCAGAAGATCTCGTTCTCGTCTCTGGTCCGTGCCATTCTTTCGCTCGAGATACCTCGAGTCGGACTGTGGATATTCAGAAAATCGAAGATCCTTTTTGAAG